TACATTTTCATATGACTTTTTGTTTCAGTCATTTTCACTGATAATTGCTCTATCGCTGAGGGTCTTCTTTATTTTTGGCACCTGGAGACCCTCTCATTTTGCATGGTAGCCTGGTAATTTTCCCCTCACAGTAAATTTACTTCCACCAGGACCTCTGGTTTCTGGAGGTAATGTTCTTTGATAGTTTAGTCTATTAAAGGAAACAGAAGGCTGTGATTATGGATTTTGCTGTCCATCTCTTCTTCTAAGCTTTGAATCCACAGAGAACAGGCTTTCTTGTCTGATTCATGGAACAGACCCTAATGCTTCACACATTTCCCCAACCAGACTAGGAATCAGTAAGGGTTTGATCTAGGAAAATGTGAATGAATCAATCATGTTTCCCTCTCATTTTAACTGAGACTTTAAAGATCACATACTTAATTATCTTCTAGAAGAAGAGGATATCAAGAATCTTTGAAAAGCCTTCATGTTTTCTGGAAGATCATGCTGAACATAACAGGGTTTTAAAGTCTAACAAACTCTTGGACAAAAGGCTAGTCCTTTGCCTACTATTGATACTATTTTTTTCTTCTATATTTTTAAGTTTTTATATTGGTTTGCATACCAAATTTGTATACATCGTATTTCATTTATGTCCACTGCATTTCATACATTCCTTCATTCACACTGTACTTTAGAGGATCATTTCTGTACATTGTGTTTTATAAAATAAGTCACTATTGATCTATGCTCACTATCATCCTGTCTTTTCATGTTCCCACTGTTGTTGTTGCGTGCCGTCGAGTCGCCTGTGACTCATAGCGACCCTATGTACAACAGTCCTAAATTCTGCCTTATCCTGTGCCAATCTCACCATCTCCGACACACTTGCCCCCACTTTTACTCCAGTCACTGAATTAATCCATCTCATCTAGGGTCTTCCTCTCCTGCACTCTCCCCCCACTAGATCTATCCTAATTCCTCACTCCTTCCCTCTGCTCACTAAATTCTGCAACCTGTGATTTCCCATCCACAGTCTCCTCCCCCTTCCCCCTTTGGATTTTTACCTATACCTTACTAGTTATCCTTCATTTTTTACATTTACGGTCTTATACAGTATTGTCCTTATGAGACTGAAAAGGGGCAGCGATTAATTGGTTGAACTGGGAATCATTGATTCTTCAGTGGTTTCAGAGGCTGTAAAGTGCCACAGGAGGAGATTGCTCATCCTTCTCTCTTGGAGGTTCTGACGGATTTGAACCACTGGAGGTACCAACTTTGAACTCAACTCCACACAGTGGCACAACTCTCTGTAGGTCATGCCGACAGAGAACCCAAGGAACATATTACCAAGTCTTTTTCTCTGTAGAGCCGCTGGTGGGTGCAAACCATCAGCTTTTTATTAAGGAACAACCAGGGTTCCTTAAGTTATTAGTATCTTTTATTTTCTACTTCCCATTTGTTTATAAAAAAACAGAATTTATAAAACCTTCATAAATATGTAATGAAAAATCCACTGCCTTCTGGTGGTGGGATGAAAGGAATTACATGGATTTCGAGTTTTCATCCCTTAATTAGAAAAGCAATGTCCAAATCAAATTTGACACAGAAAAATTATTCAAAATAGCCTTTGATTTGAAGGCAAAAGATATCTGACCTCATCCTATCATGTTAAAATGTCCAGTACAGTGTAGCCAGCAAAATAACCTGTCCCTTTGCTGTTTTGTGAAATAATCTTCCTCCAGAGAAGAGAAACAATTTGCAGTGAGTATACCGGCAAACAAAAGAAAGCTGATCATTAAGAGGAATTTCTAGCAATGACTTTTTTCTTCTTTTTTAAAAAATTTTATACTAGTTTACAACATTCAGAAAGTTCATATACATTGTTTTTCATACCTGATCTTTCCCCTTTTCTTTCTCCATCCCTCCCTCCACTCATCATATTGTGTGATCCTATGATTAAGCCCCCTCCTCCCCACCTTGGATCCTTGTACTCGTTCTACAAGATCTTCACCCTGAAACATACAGTGTCCCTTTTCAGCAGGAAGTAGCTAAGAGAATACGCCGTCCCATTTTCCTTATGAATCAGGGTGAAGTCTCTCTCAGGCAGGAGTGATAGGGAATGGTAAAGTACACACTGACAAAGGAGATTAATCAGAACTGGCTTTGACAAGCACTGTGACAATGGGACAATTAAAACAGACTTTCAGGGGGGAAAAAAGAGGAATGAACTGGGGGGTTAGAGAAAATAGTACAACAATCAATGAATGGAAATCCAAAATCTCTGTAAATGTTCATGAAAATTAATAAAATTTAATAAAACTAAATTAAAAAATAAAATAAAAAAGAATAGTCTTGTACAGTATTTGTCCTCAAGAGACAGAGTTGGTATCCTTAGCATATGCTCTCCAGTCCCTCCCATGTTAGGTAATAATTTACAAAATCATTTCTCCTGCCTGCTGTATAGTATTCCATTCTGTGAATGTGCCATAATTTCTCAATCTATTTCTTTGTGGTTGGACATTTGGACAGTTTCCATGTTCTTGCTATGGTGAGTAATGCTGCTATAAACATTGGTGGACAAGTATCTATTTATGCCTCAGTTCTCATTTTCTCAGGGTATATTCCAAGCGGTGGAATAGTTGGGTCATATGGAATTTCTATGTTCAGCTTTTTGCAGAAACACCAAACTCTATCAACGACTTTGAGCTTTTTTCCACTATAATCCCAGAACCTAAATTCAAGTGGAAATTGAAAGTTCACTTAATATTGTTACTATGGATGTGATTCCTCACTAGATAAATTGTGACTTGATACTCCATACATACTGAGCATTTCTTATGGAAAAAAAATTTTGCTAGATTTTATGATAGCTATCTTCCTAATCAAATGCAAAAGAATGCATAAGGCACAAGATTAAAAAAAAAATCCTACCCAGAAAGAACCTCCAAACTTAAGGATACAAGTGTTCAGGTCTTTCGTTCACAGGTTCACTATGAGTCATCTACTACTTGACGGCACTTAACAATAACAACAATGGCAACATAGAGAGCTCTGTTGGCCTCATGGATAGAAAGTGATGCTACCAAGCCGAAGGTAGGTGATTTTAATCTGTGGCCCTCAGGCCTGGTTTTACTTGTTTTTGATCAAACATTCTTCTAGGTGGTATAGCACTGGTCTGTCCATTTGATGTACAGAGGTAACTCGCAGTTGCTGTGATGCTAAACACTGTGTATAACACTGACGTGTCAAGTGTGATAATGGCTACCCATGGTGGACAGTATTTGGTGGAGCTCCCCGACTAAAACAAGCTTGGAAGCAGGAGTGGCATCCACTTCCAAAACAGCTTGCCTCTAGAAACTCTATGAACTTGCAAAAATGATGAAAGTTATAAAAGAACTTAAGGAAAAGATGCAAAACCCCCTCATTGCTGTGGAGGCAGCAATGACTCACAGCTGACCCTCTGTTTGTTTTTCCAAGGCTGTAAATCACTTGAGAGAAGACTGCCCATCTTCCTCTCGTACTGGTGGACTTTGAAATGGCCTGCCTCCAGAAACTCTATGTACGAACAGTGCTCAGGCCTTTTGTTCATAGAGTCACTCATTCATAGGGTCGCTATGAGTAGTCATAACTCGATGGCATCTAACAACAACAATGACAGCTACATTGGCCGAGTGGACAGAAAGCTATGCTACCAAGCTGAAGGTGGTTGATTTTAATCTGCGCCCCTCGGGCTGGGTTCAAATTGTTTCTCTGTCATTCTTCTAGATGGTATAGCACTGGTCTGTGTGCTGCTGTACAGAGGTACCTCATGGTTGCTGTGATGCTGCACACTGTGACAGTGATGTGCCAAACATGGTAATGGCTACTCATGGTGAGCAGTGTTGGCTGGAGCTTCCCGACTAAAACAAGCCTGGAAGCAGGAGCGGCATCCACTTCCAAAATGGCTTGCCTCCGGAAACTCTATATACGAACAGTGCTCTGGCTTTTCGTTCATAGGGTCGCTGTGAGTTGTCTACGACTTGACGGCACCTAACAAGAACAACAACAAAGGTGCGGCCTAGAGGCCTCTAAGGGTAAGACATACAAGGGTAAAATCCACCATGTAATAACACAAAAGAACAGACGAAAAGGTTATGGGAATTCCAAAGTAGAGAGGCCATTTCTTACTGAACAATTAGACAACACTGTAGCTAGTATAAAAATTATGCTGAGACTGGGAGAGAAAAAAAAATAGACTGTGGACTAGTAGAATAGAAGGGCAATTCAAGTGGAAGGAATGGTGTAGATAAAAACAGCAAGTCAGAAAAGCACAGGATATATAAGAAGAAATGGGAATTTGGCTGAAGTGTAAGGTACATAAAAGGGACTAAGGAGAAATAAGGCTGGAAAGACACATTGGCAGGGCCATGGTGGCTTTGAATGTGTTCTGAATTACCACCCCCAGACATAGGAGCTCCATAGTGAGCCAGTTCTTGGCATATGCCGGGCCTTAATGCTAAACAACAGCCTTTACAGCAGAAACCTGTTCTCCACGTGCACACAGGAAGCTGCCATCTGTAGGCACAGTCAATTACAAACATTCCAGATACTCTGTCCTGAACCCTGCAAGCACATCAAATGCTCCTTGTAAAAGGTCACCCAACAAACAGCTCTGATCAATCCTGGCTCAGGCTGAATCAAATCCCCTAAATAAGATCCACTAGATGCCGTTTCAGGAAGGTCAAAAGCGACCCTATTACACATCTTGAAGCATTTTTGCCACATGGAACATTTTAGAGAAAGAAGGGAAAGGCAAGAAAGAAGAAAGGGAGAAAAACCCACCCTGACTTTCCAGAAATAATAGAATGCCAAGTAATTAAATGTTAAATGAACATAAAGTTAGCAGAGAATTTATTTTGGCCTCCAAACTCCTCCTAGCAATCTAAAAAGTGGTTGATTTTAAAGAAGGCCATACTGGAATGAAAAATGGAGTTTCACACCTCCCCACCTCTACCTCGCGTGTCCCCACTGTGTACCTTTGTCGAGTTCACTGGAAATGTTCCATGATGAGGTAGGCACTAACTCAGCAGTGACGGACAACTCTGTTTCTGAAAAGAAAAACAAGGGAGGGGAGAGAGAACAGGCAATATTAAATATAGTAACTTATGGGTTGTTACACATATTACAAGAGATTTCCAAAGGTCCTGCCTTCTTAAAGAGCCCCTTGCAATAGTAATGTGGAAAAGCTGGCAGGGCCCTCCAGTGTTGCCAGGCAGAGAGAGGTCCATGCACAGCACTGGCCTCCCAGCAATCTACAGGCTAGATTTAAAGAGTTTTATTTTAAAACATCAGCTTAACAATGAAAATGAAAATATTTTTTAAAAAATTATTTCAATAA